GCTAACAGAAGATGTGATTTTGGGCAGTTGGTCATACAAAACAATACATTAGAATACATCTATTCACTATTTTTGAAGATGATTCCAATTAAATGATCCATCAATTAACTAAAAAAGTTATTGGCTGGTAAATACATAATACAATTGTTGTTAGTTGCAGCTGTATGAGCGAGCAACACAACCATAATTACATTCCACTCTTAAGTATTGTGGTGGCAGCAGAATACAGAAAAATGCTCATCAGAGAAAAAAGGATAACAGGCAGATGAAAACAAAACGACTGTATATGCTTGGCTGGAGACCACTCGGGTGGTGGGAAAATATGTTTTCTGTAAGTATGGTAAAATCTCTCCGAATGTACACCCTAAAACCCTATTTGGTAGTCATGGCGTCATATAGAATCATTACTCTTTATTCTGCATCATAACACAAATCCAAATGCTCCATCAGTCCACAATTATAACCATCAACTGTGATAATCGCAGCATCGACCTTCTCATTCCTAAAGTACTGCTGACATTCCCTCTATGATCCCGTACTGTATCCCACAATTCCCTCCCATTGCTTCTGCTCGTCCTCCTCTACAGTGGTGTGTCTCTGCCTCATTGCTTCCTGAGTCCTAATGAGCCATTGAGAGATAATTGCTCCTCGAGGGTCAGTACTAACTGACACCACTGCCTCTTTCATGTCATTCAGTCAAGCCCCTGTCAGCATAAATAGTACTGCAGGCTGTGTTCACTGCCTGAGTTTCCAACCAGTCCAACTTAATGATTGTTGAGTCCACTAATTTCAAATCAAGCCCTTCTCTGAACTGCAGAGCACAGTAATACAAACCGCAGAATCTGACACTTTCCTCACAGCAGCAGCACTTGCAATGTGTATTCAAGAACTAAGAGATTTTCTTTGATATTGATCACGCAGCAGTGCAGCAGAAGAAAGCTTTGATATTTACACCACTAACAGAATTACAAGAAACAATCCGAGACCCAAGGACTCAGCCTAACTGGATTCAGTCTGTCCCGAAGCAACACGACCCTAAATTGATTCCGACTGTACAGCTCGGACGTCCTTGGAGCCAAGGGCAAGTGTGTGCGACTTCTGAAATACAGAAAGGTCCGCACTGCTTCTATGTGATGTGATCCAAAGGGAAGGCTTGTACTCCGGGCACATGCTGCTTCCTCTTCCGTGCTGCCAGTGGCTTTGACCTCAACAGATGACAAGGGACGGCCATAAGGGGCGATGGGAAAGTGTGGTACATGTCAGGTCTCTGCTGGCGAGAGAACTGAAGACTGGTCTCTTACATGTCCTGAAATAGATATTTTTATGTTTGCACGGTGGCATTAGAGTGAAATTACTCTGCCTTCACATGGCTAGTGTTACTTTATATGGAAACACTAGCGATTTTACTTATTTCTCATGTTTCATACGGAAGAACAGCTTTGGTTGTCGGAGTCACAGGCACTAATGGGTCAGACTCGCACACTGTCAGCAGAACACTGTGTTTAAAAAGCACATTAGCTATGTCTCAGCCGTGGTTACAGTAAAGTCATTCAGAACCAGGACAGGATACTTCAACATTGTTTCAATTTGAGCTCTTTTTAGACGGATTTACGTAACATTGCTAACCTCACTTGTCTTAATGGATTTTTGTTCTTTAGACAGAGGTGGCCATTACGTAAAAGTTCCTAATGGCTTTACTCAGACTTAACCCTGGCACCTTCTGCATGATATATTTGTTTATAAGGATGTGTATGAGTGTATATCCTTTTAACTGTGAATTTCTGAATACATTTTCTCATCAATTTCGTAATTTATTAGTTAGCACATCGTGCTGCCCATTTTCCTGATGTCAAAGAGTAACCTAGCATAACATTCTAACATGTTAACTCAGGGTATGATTGTCGTGTGTAAAGCAATTTTGCCAGATGTTCATAGTTTCCTAATTGCCAATGCAAAATGAAAATCAGGGAAGATAGTGCAGGTCAGATTTGTACTGCGGTTGGCTCCATTTGCTACACGAGGGAAGTGTTTAAGACTTATTTCACCTAGCTCACTCAGTGTTTTCCAGTTCAGCAGCCCACTTTTTTTTGCTTTGTGCATAAGAGATGATAGTTAAGTAAAGGATTTATTATACTGCTTCTAATAAGGCAAACAAGATACATATCATTTTTGCCATTGACCTTACTAAAGCCGCCCATAAGTCAGACTTGTGATGTGTTGAATGTGCTACTTGAGAGGTAAGATTCCAATTATGGGGTTCGTGTATACATGGGTTTTGAGATACATTAGTTAAGGGGAAGTTTGACCTTAGATTGGTTAATGGCAAATGCTAAACAGACTTGCTCAAAGTGCTTTTATACTACAGGAGCAATTTGGGGTCCGGTTTAGTTTTTTGTGGAGGAGTAGGGATCGAACCCTCTGATTGGTGGACGACTTGCTCTTCTTCCTGAGCCTCTGCCGCAACGCTTCAGCAGAAAGGTCAGCTAGCAACAAAATTAATCATGCCGGTATAAAAAAGCTATTCCCATGTGCTGCAGTTGTGCTGGCCCCCTAAAAATACAATACCCAAGAAATCATCCAATCAAATGCTTCCTCTCACCTTCACACTGCATTCCCATTTACAACAAAGCACTACTGCTAAAGGATTAACACATGATCCATCAACAGAAACTAAAATGCCCTTGTGATAGTAACAATTTATTGTGATAATGATTTTCTATCAAGCAGGACCTTCCATTATGTCTCTACATAATTTCCCAATTCAACCATTTGGCAAGGCTCAGTTACAATACAGTGTGTCCACATATTAACTGCAGATTGTCATTGGCTGTAGCTATTTAACTAAGGTGAACTTTCCTCCAGTCCATAGACAGGATACACATAATTCATCCCTTTTTTTAATAACTTTAATAACACCTAATTTGTGTGAATGTGCCAAGCAGCAGCATTGTTGCCTTATTTACATTCTGACAGCCAGCTTTGACGCATCGCCTCATGCTGGCACACAGAAGCTGTCCTCTCTCCAAATTGCCTACTAAGTAGCTCCTGGACATCAGCAGTCACCCTGCCTGTCTGAACTCTTTCTGACTGCTTGTTTCACATTTTTCCAGCCTGGTTCCTCTGGTGGCTCTCAGACACAAACTGCTTCTGTCATCCGACACTGAAATACAGCTGGTTTCTGCCCTGACAACATCATTCAGCTTTATCTTCCATCTCTTTCTGACGAATACAACAATAAGAGAAGAAGAGAACAATGCAGATGCTCCTGCGAACAATGTGACGCGGACAATGTCTTTCGGGATGTTGATGATTTGTTTGGCAGCTTGTGTCATTATAAAGTCACCATGGTAATGAAGGACAATATGTCGCTGTTGGTAGTGTGGAGGAAAACAATAACAACTCCAATTCATCAATGTTTGGACAAAAACCAAGATAAGAAGTTTTATTCCAGCAGCCAGAGAGAGATGCATTAAAACCCTAATCCAATGAGAAAACATTGAAAGACCACAGACTTAAACTCAATACACAAAATTCAATAATTTATGTAGAACATTTCGAAGTGAGATTAGAGATACTAAGCACATCTTCCTGGATGTGAAATGAATCAGTCATGTTTAATTAAAGATGGCATTGGCTGCCAGTCAGTTTTCACTGAGCAGAAAGCCAGGACGTAACAAAAAAAAAAGCATGCTAGCATTTACGGCAGGGAGAAGCTCATGTAGCTGCAGGGAAGAAACAAGACAACACTTCACACATCGAGGAGACAACAGAGCTGCAGGCTCATTCCCCCGTCACCACCACTGGTGTGACAACTTGAGCTTTGTTGCCTGGACCATTCCCTCAGCACTTACCACCTGAAGTACAACATGTCTACTTCATACTGTAATAGGGAGCAGCCTTGTACATTATCTATTTCCTGAGTCATTTAAAAACGTGGGTAATACAGTATTCAAAAATGGTATCACTAAAAGATATGTGGTTGATCTATCTATCTATCCAATTCTTAATTGACATGAATACAAAAACATGAGGTTTCCTTCAATAACAGTATGTATGATATTGTTTTGAATGTATTCCATAACAATACACATGCAGTTTGTTGTCAAAGTGACACAGTATAATACGTGGACTTCCTTACGATTGTGTATTAATGAGACAGAAAAGTAAGATGATCATTTAAAAAAATAGACCTTTGTTGGGATTAAATTCCTTATGGTATTCAGTTTTGAGTCTAAATATGTCCCTAGTTTGTCTCTAGTCTCTAAATTGGCATAGGCTACTACTATTAGTAAAGTTAAGGCTACAAAAAATATTATTTTCATTATCATCTTTAATAATATAATTTCCATTACCAATTTATGCTTACATTTTTTTTAAATGTGTTACTTTTGTAAAATATCGAAAAAGGAGAGAAAATACACATACAATTCTAAGGTGATGTGATGTGTTCTAATGTCTATGGTCAAAATCTCAATGATAATAACAATAAATTATTAATGTATATAAAGACACACAAAAAGCTGCATATCTTCTCATTTAAAAAGCAGCAGATATTGCCATGTTTAGGTTAACTAAATAATGAATACGGTTAATAAAATAACTTTTCGTTTGTGTATCGACCACTCGATTTGTTCGACTAATTTCCGGTGTGGCGTCAAATTAGCCAATCATGCTTTTTGTTTTGGTGAAGGACAGTTGGCGTGAGGACTAGCAAGTTCACTCAGAAGGAAGTCAAGTAAAGCAATTAAAAGTAAGCCTGAACTACAAAACAGTATAGCCTGTTAGGGAGCGTTTTACACTACAGTACATCCACCTCAGATACATTTGGCAATAGGAGAAACAAAAGCTCTCCTGTACGCAAACACAACAGCTTACTACGAACAACCAGAGGCTAATTTTTGTATCCTTATCTCCTCTCTTGATACATTTTACTGCATTTGCTACGTCGCCAAAATGTTTTACACATTGAACCAAATCCAACAACACATTGCCTCACTCACTTTCGTGCTTTGAAGTTCCCCATGTGTGCCTCGGAACTCCCGGGCTCTTGATAATCGCTCTGCCGGCTGATTTCAGGGCATCCATCCCGAGGTGTGTCTGCTCTCCGGCAGGTGGATTCCCCAGTCTCTGGACCACAGGGAGGTAACTACAGCAGGCTGAGCTCGACGGTGAATGCGCCAAAGAGGGAAGAGGCGAAAAGAGAGCCCACTGATATAAGTTCCCACCCTGAATCACTCTGATTTCCTCCCCACCACAGAGACCGTGAAGCAGCCGAGGGCACACGCACCTACTGCACCGTCTCCAAAGTTAAGGGCGTGTCCCTCTAACCTTGATGAGCCGACAGTCCAAAGTGCCCAGTTTGAAGGAACGACCTTAATTAAATAATCATCACAGTCTTATTGCAGTTTGAAGGACTTACTCACTAATGAGTGTATAGTTAATGAGCTTATTATAGCACTTTTTGTCTCGTAGGGCTTCTGTGGTTTATTGACCTTTGGTGCAAGCTCTGTTGCCAAGTTTTTTTCTTAAAAGAGTGGTTTTTCATCACTTTACTGTCGATATTGTATTTAGAAACGACACGCTTTTGTTGTTTTATCTCATGACAGCATTCTAGTTATAGGATAGTAGTGATGGGCATTGCTGAAGCCTCTTTATTGCATTTTTTAAAACTATAATTCCCTGTTTTATTCAGGCCAGATCACAGACATGTCCAGTGCTAAAGAAAACTAAGCAATGTGTGAATACCTGACAACATTTCGGTTAAAATGATCAACAAACAACCACATTACTAGGCTTCATATTCATAGAGGCAATGCTTAAAGTTTAACTTGTTGTGTGTTGGCGCCCTCTATTGATCATAGGCAGTTATTACAACATGGTTGTGAGTGACCCATGTTCAGTTTAGTAATCTTTTGGGCTATCAGTAAGTTTTCTTGACAAAATAAACTATACATTTATTAATCCTCATAAAAACAAAAGTAACGTGCCCCATTTGACCTAAGAGACAGTGGTTTCTATACAGAGGATAATGGATAATGACATCCAAAAGTGTATTAGTATTATTAATTAGTAGAGTAAAGAAGAAACAAAAAATACAAAAATTAACCAAATAAATATATCTTCTTCTATCCTTAAACTTTGCTTATGTTTGTGGATCATTTCACTACAGAAAGATATTCAAATAAAACAAGGGGGAACATTGTTAAACTTGGATTCTGGTTGTATAAGGTCAAAAGAAAATATGTTGGATGTCAAAAGTAGGGATATAAAAAACGTATATAAAAAAAGTATAATTACATGATGACACATTCCCCCTATTATGCCATACAGGGTACTATTCGATACCACTTGCAATCCCGCTAAGGAATAATTAATTTCTGACAGACACAAAACATGCATTTAGTTTTTGTCCTTCATGGTGAAATCTTTATTTCATTTCTCTCAACAACCCAGCACAGGTTATCATGTAATGTCCGAGATCATCTCTCACAAGTATTTCACACTCAGGAAGCTAAGCAGAGCATGTATGATCATGTATTTCTCATACATCTTCTAGTAGGGGTTATTAGAGTTTAGCCTGAGGTGGCATGCTGCTGTTGTCATTTTGGTGCTCGGTGATCATTTGAGAGGGTCTTTAGTTTATATTTAATGCTCTCAGCAGCGCACACTACTGCAACTACACTGACTGCTGTGTGTGTGTGTGTGTGTGTGTGTGTGTGTGTGTGTGTGTGTGTGTGTGTGTGTGTGTGTGTTCATGTGCTATCCTGTATACACAGCAAGTAGTAGAATCATGCAGCTACTTTGAAATGTAAGGCTCTTCAGAAAAAGACTTCAGTGTTGCTGCCATGTTTTTGTCACTAATGCAGGCGAGTATCTGCATTAGAGTGAACATTTTTACAAACTAAAGCAATGTCCCCCTCTCCAGTTTGAAAGGAAATAGCCTCTTAAAGGCTAAAAGCTGCACTAAAATGATGCAAAAGTGACATTGCCTCCCGTCTGCTTCCATGGAAGACTGTGAATTTGAGATTATTAGTTATAATTAACCATACTTATAAGCCATCCAGTCATTTCAAATACTTCCATGTCACGGAGCACCCTTCACTCCAATAGAGAAATGTTACAGGCTTCAACAGTTTTCAGATGTCATTTTTCATCTGGTTCACAAAAGAGTTGTCGAACAGTGCAGCATGCATCATCCGTTTAAGGTTGTCCAATTCAGGTGTGAGCACTGCATCTAAAAAGACCGGAGATATTCCTTAAGGCAGAAAAAAAATCCCCCCTCCTGTCTTATAACTTGGCTTGAGATTCATGTGATATGTACTTGCTGACACAACGGATTCTGTATCTCCCATAAAACAAATCATGCTTGTAGGGGTCTCTTTATTTGTAAAGTGAGAGGGAAGAGGGTGGTGAGGTCACTAAAGAAGTGTAAGAGCACAGCCAGACAAAGAGAGGGCCGCATGAAATAGATTTATGGTAGAGGGGGTGTAAGGTAGTCCTTTAGAGAGGACAACATAGAAAAAATCCAGGCTGAGCTAGTCAGCTAACATGCTCTCAGTCACTTCTGTTTTAGATTCATTGATGGATGCTATCCTGTCTGATTTTCAGTCTATCCCCCCTCCAATTTTTATTTCATAGTCTCATGCTATTTGTCTCATTCACACACTCACACACTTTCTCATTTGCTGTCTCTAAACCCGCGTCTTCCTTAGAGGCTGGAGCTAGAAGGCAACTGGTGGGAGGGGCCGGTCTTAGAAGCAGGAGGTGGCCTTGGCGGTTTTCAGGTCAATCCAATGGCACGTCAGCTAATGGATTTCTTTCCATACCACCTGACTTATCTTTAACCAAGTACAATGCCTGCATTGGACGACCTCATACACCGTCTATTTCAAAGACTGGAAAAACTGTCCCTTCGTCTCCTGCCTCCCCTCCTGGTTTCTCTCTTCCCTCCTGCTCCTCGCTTTCTCCTCCTCCCCCCTCTCGTCTTTCTTCCAGTTCTGAGGCACACAGGTAGCCTTGGGACTGGGACTGCGCGTGTCCCAGGGACTCCACCGACAAGCTTCGGCTAGACAGAATGCTACTGAGGCTGGACTGGCGGGCGCCTCTGGGTTGGGTCTCAATTTCCACACGCACTTCAAAATTGGTTCCTTCCCTGTGGTGACAGTAAGAGACATGAAGAAATCAATATGAAACTGCTAGGCAATCAAAATGTTTCTGACTTGAGGACGTTTATGCAGAGGAAATCTTTATGATTCCAAATCTAAAGTCACATGATATATATATATATACATATATGCATAGCTGTGCTTTAGTCAAATGCCAACATGCTGATGCTTAGAATGTATATCTAAAGTTTTAGCATGCTAACTTCAGAATCAGAATCAGAAACAGGTTTATTGCCAAGTAGGTTAACATATACCAGGAATTTGCCTTGGTGTACTTGTGCTTTTTAGCAACAATGTACAGTTGAGGCTGATAGGAATGTCATCGGTTTTTCAAAAATGTTGGACAAATTAGTATTTGAGTAGAAATAACATGGAGGAACATGGATATCTTTACCAAAGTTCATGGCCATAATTATATCCAACAATGTTTGAGACATTTCAGTACGAAGCAAAGTGGTGGACAGACCAATAATCAAAATGTAAAACAAATGGCATCCCTAAAGCCATGCCTTGAACATGTCTAAACATCTTGGGTGGTAGATACAGTCTATGGTAGAAACAATCAACAGAATAAGAGGTGACCTTTACCTAAAAGAAGGAGCATGTGTGTCATCGAGCTTGCTGTCAGGCACAATAACCACCTCGCAGTCCGATTGGCTGTCCTGCTGGGAGTATCCGTGGTGTTTTGTGGCTTCATCCAATTCCTCATAACTATCTAGCTCCGGGGGCGTGGTACTTGTACTAGGGAGGACGCCCACTTCCTGTACACTGACTCTGACTTCCTGGACGCTGGTGTCACTGAGCGTTGGGTTCTTCTGACCCGGCCAGTGGTCACTGACTACATGAGAGAATAGAAGATCTGTAAGAGAAGTTGAAACTCAATCAGATCAGGTCGTGGGAAGAGCACAAATAACAATGAACAGATGACTTTACGGTGGTAAAAATAATTAGCTTTAACATTGGATATCGCTAATTTGATTTTGTATGTTGTTCATTTGTATGAAGCTAGAGCCTTTATAAGATCTACCCACCAGTTTAAAAATATGCCTACATGCTACTTCCAACATTTATATTGACTGACATTGTATTTTTTTTAACCATATTCAAACATTTATTTTCTTATGTGTTTCTTATTTGGTATTTATACTATGTTATGCTAAGCAAATTGCCTCATGTATCCAGCTCCATGGTTTACTGTTAAATTCAATTTATTTAATTCATTTAATTCTCGAAAATACGCATATTTCCCAAAATGTCGAACTATTTTTGATAACCGTGTACTCACAGCTGGCTAAGTCCTCCAGTTGGATTTTGTGTGTTTCAAGGGGCTCATTCTGGGGTCGACACCAGCCGTTCCTACAGAGCGACATTGGGACGACCCCATAGACATACGTCAGCATCAGTGGCACACCCACACCTGCAGGGAAAAAGAGAAACCAATTCATAATATATTTCTCACATTCAGTGGTTTAAAGTCTGTGCCAAATATCTGTTAAAAGCATACAAATGGTTATTGAAATACTTTTCTTTTAATTTAAAATTGTATTTTAATAGTTGTCATTTCAAGTTTCAAAGCATGCAACACCTCAAATAAACACAAGAGGGAGCCCCTCCTGCTTCATTGTCCCCTGCTGTCAATAAAACATACAATAACAAATGAAGTGTTCACTGGGTAGATCACCTGTCTTCAAGTCAAAATAAGAATAAAGCCGCAAATAACGATTGTAGCCAAGAAAATCTTCCTTTCCACACATTAAATGTCTCCCTATACTCTCCTTCATAACCTTCACTAAAGCCGTTGCAATCAGTCCAGAAACTTGATGAGCTTCCCTACACAGTGTGATTATGCAACCTGTGATTGAGATAGGAATTTGGAAACACAAAGCAGAGTGCCGACCAAACAAAGAGACATCATTAACACAGCGGGAGCACTGGGACGCTATTGACTCGATACAGGGTGAAGCCAGGGCAAGAGGAAGAGCCTGCCAGCCAATCAGCTCACAGAAAGACAGGATGTGTGTGTGTGAGTCAAACAGAGAAGGCAGGGAACTGTGGGTGAAATATAAGAAACAAAACCATAATTGTAGTGCGGGGGAGAGAGGAAAATGATAACGAAGGAGTGGATGCAAACCCGGGGGTCTATATGTGTTATAGTGTGTTTGTGTGCCATGGGAGAGCTTGTTAATGCTGCCCGGTGATGGTCGTGACCCCGCAGAGGGAAGCTGAGCAGCTGCTAAAGCCTTGAGGATTCCTGTCACAAATGAAAGTGTTGTGAGTCATTGAAAAGCTACTTTGCACTGTGTGCGTGTGTGCGTGTGTGTGTGTGTGTGTGTGTGTGTGTGTGTGTGTGTGTGTGTGTGTGCGCTAATTAAAAAGTGGTGGCTAATAGAGACCTAGCTTGTGGGTATTTATAAAGCGGTAAACTTAAGATTTATGATGTGAACTTTTGAACAACCACGATCAAATAGCAATATATATTTAGCAGAGAATTAGAATCAAAGGAGGATCAAGCTCCAACTCTCCAAAGGTCACAGACTGGTATATATTTATTATTTTTTTAATGTTGTTCTTTTACATTTTATTTTATCTCTCCGTGTTTGACAACCTCTTAAAATCCATTGTTTATTGCTTTTTCTGTGTATTGGAGAACCTTGTAAATCTGGTTTTGAAGGGTAGAAATAAAGTTTATAATTATCATAATTTGGTGTGTGAAATAAAAGATCGTATTTCAGGATATTGTGGCAATTTAATCACCTTCCTTTAAAACAAAGTGCCCAAAACACTTTTCTACTTTTTCACAAACAAGCTCATTTTACACTTTCAAATGTTCTTGTAGTATTTATGCCGGACAGAAAGAGTCCATGTTGTTGTTTGTTCCTTACCCACAGTGACAGCTGCTATGACCGGCGACACAAACACGGACATCATCACCCCACTTGCCACAGTCAAGTAGTGCTTACTTCCTGAGATATTGTTTTTCTTACAGCGACCGTGGACCTGTATGGTGATAAATAAAACATACATTAGATTATGGAAATTGAATTGGTTCTTGTTGTTCTCCTTCTGTGCAACAACTCACTCCTGTCACTTATTCGCATGCTCTAATACATGCATCCCAACAAGCATGAGCAACTGAGTGAACAGCTATAACGTGGCGCTACCACCAATTCAGACTAATGCATAACTATTAAGAGCACAGTGGAGTTGCCCATGAGCCCTTAGTTTCCACCTAATCCACCTGATTTCCCTAATGACATTAACGAAAGCTTATTTTGCATCTGTTGATAACATGAACATTTTAACATTCGAGTAAGTCATAGTTTCTAAATTTTGGACTTTCTGCTGTTTTTGCGGCATAAACACACTCGTTCAAGAGGTAAGCACATGCATTCAAACCGGACACAGGATTTACTGGGAGTTTTCTACCTTGCGGCCCATGTAGATTGGTATGCCCACAATGATGACTGGGATGGCTAAGCCCGCTATAAGGGAGATGACCACCGGTGCTCCGAGCAACATGCCCACCTGCCACAAAACCTTGCGGGTTTGAGACCATGGCTTCTTCCCCCAGAATGTACATCCAGAAGGACTGAGACACACAGGAGACACAACAGGAGAGATCAGCTGTGAGTTCAAACTGTAATCATGCACAGAATATAGCTGATGTAGCCACATAAAGGTCATGGCTGTTTGAGTGGGAATTTCCTCCAGTCTGTAAGTTTGTTTCCCTTTCGTCCTTGCAAAAAGAAATCACAAAAAGTATATAATGGATTGCCATGAAATGTTGTACAGACCCTGAGAATAAATACTACTGACTTTAGTGTCTCCTTGACATGTGTAGTGCAACCATGACATTGACATTTATTGTTTTGGAGAGAAATATTTTGACAAATATTAGATGGATTGCTGTGCAACATGGAACAAATATTCACGAACCTGGAGGGAAAATACTCATGGTCATTCCCAGCAGCATCAACTGTTTTTGAAAAGTTAGCATGCTAACAGGCTTAACAAAAATGAGGAGCCTGCATATTACCTACTAAATATCAGCTTGTTAGCATTTAGCCTTCAGGCCTTTCTAGCCAGAAAGAGTGTATTTAACCCAAACCATGATCTTTTTCTACACCTAACCAAGTAGTTGTGTTGCCTAAAGCTAAGAATATGTTTTCGTCAGAAAGCCCTGAAGGCTAACTTCTCCTGCCCTAAGCACAGTTTCACCGACCCGCTAGCATAGCTAAAACAGTGTAGACTCTTTGTCTTGGTCTATAATCTATATATCTTGTTATCCAAACTTCATTCTTTCAATTAAGAAAATGGTGTGTGTTCATTCACCCAGACACATTCATAACCATCCCCTCTATTGCTACATCACAAAAGCATCATCATCATGCAGCCTCATCCGACAAAAATAAAACGATTTTGAATGATTCTCTATTAAGATAGAGGTGAAATAAATGAGTCCTGACAACAAAATGTGTTGTCATTGCAATATTAGCCAAACAGAATGACCTCATCTGCATTTCTCATTCTAGCTTTGTCCTCTCTCTCTGAATTACAGTCATTTGCCACTACCATTCACATACTCATTCATCTTACACACTGCTGTTTGATAAATGAAAAAGCCAGGTTATTTAAGTCTGTTTATGAGGAGTCCATTTTTCACTGGCTATGACGTTAGACAGAATACATTTTCCCGTGCTTCTTTAATGTAGTAATAGCTTTCAGTGTTGTGGTGTAATTCAAACTGCCAAGGAGCAGAACAACTCAAACTAATGCTGTTTGGTCTTAATCAAGCCGCAATTACCGTGTCGGAGCAGCAGGAACAACATGAAGTACACAAATAGCACCTGAGGGCTATGCTATTTTTCAAAGCATGCTTTTTTATCAGCAAAACGTCCTTCTGGGGACGCCTGAGCGGGGGGAATTTTGGGGAGGTATTAAAGTTTCGTTATGTTGCTCTTAACTGACAGATTTGCAGTGAGATTCTAAAAACGTTGTCCTTCTATAGACAGACAAGAATGAGGTAAGAGAAAAGGAGAAGGGACAGTGGAGAAAAAGCACAATGTCGCGCCTGCAGACAAAGATTTTCTACACATTCATCGACAGATTTGCATGTCTTTTACTGAAGCTTCAGTTACTTATTTTGCCGCATGGAAATATGGAGGCAGATAGAGCTGATGTATTGATGACAAGTCAGCAGTGACTCCTCTCCAGGACTAGAAAAATCAATAGAAGGCCAGACGAGCAGTGTAAAGCAGCCTCTCTAAACAATGACTTCATGTGTACGTGCCTTGCTGAGTAGCCAACTTTATCTCCAACTGGGTAATGCTTTTAAAACCTACAGATAGAATAGCGGTGTTAATGAGCGCTCATTTGAGTGAGGTACAAGTAGTTACGTTTTAGTTTTTTAGGAAGAATAACTCTTACTTCGTCCTGATCAAATTCTGCTGTCTTGTTTTGAAAAACTGAAAGATATTTAATTTACAATCCCACAAAAACAGTAAATCTATGTTTTAAAAGGAACGTATACATTCTTGCGTGATACAGTACTCACATGGATAGTAGTGTGCACGTGCAAGCCCAAGACTGTTATTGGGGAAGTTTATAAAATAAGGTTTTTAGCAAAAATGCATGAGTTTGGGATGTACTGAGCAGAGAATTGGATAGATTAGAATAGGATTGAACTGCACTGGTTGTCTAGAAGTGTGTAAACAGATGTTTTGATATAGTTTTGCTGTTGTTAAACCCCTCACATTCTCTTAAATTAATCAAGAATTGTCTGTTTTTTTATTCTTCGTTCACTGTGGAGACATGTGAGAAACACAACGATTTCTTCACTATTTCAAAGTATCATGGAGTGAATAATTGGTATATCATGTTGAGGGTAAAAAAAGTACTATAATTGTCAATAAGATTATATATTCACTGCCTGTTCTCAATTTACACAAAACGACATTGTTAACTTAGATGTGGGCATTTGATTGTTCATTGTTTGTTTCCATGAGAGGAGTGTGAAAGGCGTACCTGAGGTAGTGCACGTCGGTGATCTCCTGCATACACAGCCAGCAGAACTGACAGGCACACACAGTGCAGTTCATACGGTTACAGCTGCCGTCGTTTGTCTTCATGATGTAGGCACCGCAGCGAGGGCACGCTTTGATCTCCTCTGCATCTTCAGCAACAGAGTGAATGTGTCAGTGGTGTCCACACAATACTTGTTCATCCAGGAACAATAACATAGTATACTGGAACAAATTCTGGCAAGTGAGAAAAGGAACGTATTGTGATCCATTTCCCATCCTTGGCTATGCTGATGCAGAGATATTCATCTATGTTTATTATAATCCATGAAACAGGTGGTTTTTTTGCCAATAACATTTCCTAAGTGACTCTATTTTTAACTGTGAAAAAATTATTTGAATGCATCCATGCACTCTAATACTCACCTGGAATTAATGATAAAAAAAACCTGAAAAACGTATCCTCACAAAACCTTTAACTTTACCCGATTCAAAGATGATTAAGAAATATAGATCCGGCAAAACCATTGTTTTCCCCTGTTCTTATCTCATAAACACAGGAGAGAAAACGTAAATCAGATCTGAAAATGGATCACCAGAAGTGTATTTCTCACTTGTCTCTCATAAAATGTGGGACAAAGACATAGAAAACAAGTTAACGGCAGCTGTTGGTCTCACCAGCTCCAGGTTCTTCATTGAAGACGTACAGCGTGGAGGAATCGTTGCCGCCGGAGGTGTGGCGTGCTCGCTGCCGCCGGGCCTGGTCACATGTCTGGTTGGGGTGCCACAGCTGCCGGCAGTGGTAGCAGAACTCGGTGTCGCAACCCTCACGGCCACAGCTCAGCTTGGGACACTCTGCACAGCCGTAAGCTATCACTGCATAGCTGAGGGGAGAGAGAGAAACTGCTGATACAAATGATAAAGTGGACAGCATTAATATGTCCCTAAAGGGGAATTCTTTGTTGTAAGGAATTCCTATTAAAGGGAACTTCAGCATCAGGCACAATAAATCAAGGTGCCCTCCCTACTCACTATTCCACCCTGTTGCTCTCAGCAGAGACTCACAGTTGCTGCAGTTTCATCTGAAGATCACAGCTTTGGTTGGCTGACTGGAATATCTATGAAAAGCTGAAGCAAGTCTCTCATCATGTGCTCGATCGGAACAGTACATGTGTGCCTCACATGAGAGACACAGCTATCTGTGGGACTGGATACCATAGTTCCTCACCTGAACCAGAAACAATCGCGTCCTCAGATCTCGAGAAGTCATTTTGATGAGAACAAGCTTGGCGCTAGTGGAGCTAATCTCACTCCTCAGAGGGGACATTACCATAACGTTTAATATTCAAAAGAAAATGTGAGGGCCTGAAAAATCCAGACTGCTCTGGTCTGGAAAAACTCCTCATGGCATCTCCAGCTTGTTGTGGTTTTAAGGTTTGACACAAAGGTTTGATAAACGACAGCTGCCTGGATCCCACTTCAGAGTCAGACTAGGATCAAACTGCTTGATTCTCAAGTAAAACTCTTTCGGCTGAACAACAAAGCTAAAGTGGACCTGCTCATTCATAAAAGAAACATTCAGGGTATAATTGAATATCCTTATCAAACTAAATAATTGCAATAATTGGACTATTCGACATTTGACACCTTTAAAAAAACAGCAGCTGACACAGATTCATGTTTGCTCTTGGCTTTAAGTGCTTCATATGTTAGTAAACACAACCAATATATTTAAACTAATGTCATTATTTCTGCCCTGTATTCAGGCAAAAGTACAAGTAATTCTAGTTTAAGTCAATATGTGCCTGTAGGCCAAACTAAGAACAAGCCAGCAAATATTGACTTAAACTAGAATGACTTGTACTGTGTGTGCTCTGAGAAATCCCTTGCAGCTTTTCTTTTGAAACTACCTTCAGTAGCTTCACATATGCAGCAAAAACATGAACAAATGTACACACATAAACAAGCGCATGGACCATATTTTGCCACACTCTCTCCAAGCCAACATAATCTCCAACTAAGCCTCTGTCACTAAGACCTCGAGGAATGTGTGTATTTGTTATGAGCTCGGGAATACACAAACCATAACTGTGACCAGTTTACGTAATGGGGCACCACTTCAAAGGGTGGGGGAAATTTGAAATTCAAAACACTTGTGACCCCCACTTGTAAGCATTTTCTAATACGTGTACTCATAATTCTGCCGATAGTTAAGAAATCCGATCTTGTTTCTCTGAGTTATATTTAATTCACTACAGCGCAAGACTCATTGACGTATTGATTTTTGCTCCGCTCGTTTATCATGACGAGGCTGTGAGCCTGGGAGACAGCCAGTCTACCACCGAGTCCTGAACCCTGGTTCTTACGTTCGTTAGACCACAGATTTCCACTGAACACACACACAACATGCACACGCACACGCACACATTATGATTTCCCATCAGCAGCCCTATCCTGTTACCCCTCGGTGAACATTAACGTGATGCATAAATGGATCAGTGTCTGCATCGTTGTAAACAAAACAGAAAAATGTGTTAACATGTCATGTGGTCGCATTGCATGGTGGTCTTTAAAAGATGCCCTATTATGCTTTTGGGGTTTTCCTGGGGGTTCTAGGTTTTAGTGCATGTAAATGGAAGACAAAAGCTAAAATCCCATATGTCCCTCCAGAGGGAGTTTCTCTCCCACACCCAGCCTGAAACACCTATATTCCTTTGTTATCTTGTGTAACAGAGTGACATCACTGTGTAACACTCGCACTTCTATTGGCTTGCGCTCCAACACATTGTACTTGATAGGCTAAGGGGCGGGATATGTCTTAGCGGTTGTCCAATCACAACAGAGCCGGCAAGTATGCCAATCAGAGCAGACTGGGCTCTGGTTTCAGACAGAGGGTGAAAAGAGGTGCTACAGCACAGGCAGTATGAGAAGAATAAAGACCTTTTTAACATAAAAGTATGTAAATATGTCACAGTAGAGACACAAAATAAAAATATGAACCTGACAATATGCTGCAGGGCCACTTTTAAGTTGTTGTCAAAGGGAAACAATTATGTTAATATGGTTGGGGATGGGAATATCTCTCCCTTTGATTGGATTGGACTTTGATTTCTCCTTGAATGATTCATGATGATTTCTATGATTAATTCTGCGTTGAAATAACATCAATTATAGCTTATAAAATCATCATTAGCTTTAAAAATCTTCATGTGACATGATAGAATCCTAATTTCAGCCATATGGAGCAAGACAAATTTAAATAGTCCCAAAAGTACCAGGTTCTTCACCAATAATGTATTTTAGTGTAAGACCCACATTTACATAGATTATAGAAAGGGTTTTAGATACAATATTTCAGATCTACAGTCAATCTTTTCAAAGCTCGGTCAGTCAATCATTGAAAAACTGTTGCAAGGCTTCTGTTTTACAACATAAAGCTGCTGGGGGGTGACAGGGACTTGAAAGAACTGCCACATGGTAACATTGAATTGGGGCTCTCTTTGTTTTCTCAAGATAACTGCAGTATATTGAATTGTCAATTTTCATGGAATTATTTTCCTTTTTAAAGCCTTTTCCTCTCCCTTATGAAATTATCTTCTTAGTTAACTATCTACCTAAAGAAAGTCTAAACTTGTTACGTTCTCCTTGTAGTTTGTCAGCATGATTATAGAAAAAACTACAAGCCCGATTTCCATGAAACTTGGTTTGAGGGTGGCACATGGGTCAAGGAAAAACCCATCAAACTTTGGAGTGGATCTGAATCCCGGGGCGGATACTTACATCATTTTTCACTTATAAAAACAGCCTTGGCTCAGGTCCCTGCTCTCACAGTGACCTTTAAGTTTATCATGTCTTGGAAACAAAACCTTTTCAGTGTGAATGTGCAAACTGTAAAACTTTTCTGGATATATATATGATGTTTGTTGGTGGTCTGCTTCTCACCTGCAGTCAGGCGCAGGGCACCAGCGTGTATCTGGATCAGCAGCCAGGAAACGCCTCAACTGGTACTCCTCAAAGCGATCCAGCAGCGCCTGGTCGTCCAGGATGGACTGGACATCCAGCGGTGCCAGGGTCTCGGGGCACTGCGGGCAGGCGATGCCCACCCGGCTCTCCGATATCTCGATGCGCAAGTACTGGCGGAGGCAGTCGGAGCATGTTCGGTGGGAGCAGGAGGTGAGTCGTGGGAAGTGGCAGCGCGGCTGACTGAGCAGGCACAGTGGGCATTCCTCCAGGTGCTCGTCCAATAGCTGCTCCTGGCTGGAGGAGGAGAGGGACAAGACGCCAGTGGAGCCGCTGCTGACCCCGCCCACGCACTCAGCTGTGGCGGCACCGGCCTCCGCTGCCGCCCGCGCCGCTGCTGGAGGACCCCCGCCTTCTCCTCTTTCTCCTCCAGCCTCTTCTGCTGTGAGGTCCTGTGAACAGTAACACAGCTGCTGATTTACTAAATGTAGTATAGGACCTTAAAAACACCTCAGAGTGATAAGCAGGGTCAAAAGTAGACTGTAGGGAGTTTAAGCTGTTAAAAAAACATATTTTGAGAAGTAAATGAAAGCAAGTGGAACATCTTCATGTTAATACTCAGTATGCTGAGTGTGTATGTAGGCGATACTTGGTGAGCTTGGTTTCTTGGCAACATAATTTCTCGAAATGACCAATTAATTAAATAAACACTCTAATGGACTTGAGCTATAACAGTATGAGAGCAAGCAGAAGCGAATACATCCAAAGGTTAATGATCTACAGCCTCTTTTCAGGTTCCTCTTGCTTTTGTGAGACATTTGTCTTGTCATTGTGGCAGAAACTATACATATGACTCTAAATATGGAGGGATAATGAACTAATTAATAGCAAATATTGTACGCCATTATGTGCATTATATCAATAGTAAGAAAGAATGAAAACAAAACCTGACCATTACTGTCTTATCATGCCCATTTTTGTCAGCATGTTTACAAAAAGTGACTACTTATAAAAAAGGCTTATTAACTGACTTTATAAAAATAGGACTAGAATTGTAACATATATAATCCAAGATCTAACTCCTACAAACATAAAAACTCAACACTATGAGAAATAATAGCACAGATTTGGGATTTCTTCCTGCGTCTCACCTGCTCGGGGTGCTCGCTGGGGGTCAGGGTGATGGCCACCTCCTCTCTGGGCCAGGCTTCCAGCGGCCGCTCGGGCCTCGGCTCTGATTTGGGCTTCCTGCTGAAGAAGTTCAGGAAGCTCAGCGGCCCCGTCTGCTGCTTGGGCCTCTTCATGGTCACGGACTAGAGCAGGAGCAGCAGCTGAGGACAGGCCAACGACCATGAGCAGGATGCAAAAGTGTGTGTGTGTGTGCGCGTGCGTGTGAGAGAGTGTGTGAGTTGGTGTTTGTGTGTGGGTGGGTGAGCACAGCGAGCTCTCACGGCTCAGAGTCTTGGAGCTGGACGGCTGCAGTGCTGAGCGAGGGAGGAAGAGCCGGAGCGATGGAGAGGTAGACGACGGGGAGGAGGTAATCCCTGCCCGAGGGGAACATCACTAATTTGGAGCCTTTCCCAGGGCCTGGTCATGTGATTTACTTTGTCTCTCTATGGTCTTCCCCCTCCTCTTCCTCCTCCACCTCCACTGCAGATCCCTCGGTTTGGGCTAGTCCTGCACTGGCCGACTGTCCTTCATCGTTTTAGGCCTCCTGTTCACTGCGAGCAGTCCTTTGCCCTGGAAAACAAGCATCATAATCAGGATTTAAATACAGTAAATCAGAAATAATGGGATGAGCTTTCTGTCATTTTGTCAGAAAAAACATTTTGAACAAAACCTCGCTACATGAAAACTGGATATCCTTGTCAGAGGCTGGCTATAATTAAATATATATTAGTTTTCAGTGGATTGGCGACATGATGATTTGATTAAATTGTTCTTTGTGTTTATTTTTGAAGTAATAATCTTGATGTTCAGTTTAAAAACATATCCTTTCAGTCACTATATATGGCCAAAAATAGTATTATTATGAGACATCTGAAATGATTTAATCCTGTATATTTGATCTAAACCAGTGGCTTCAAAAGTGGTCCAGATGTAAAGACTTATTTTATTTTTTATCAACATTATTACAAATCTTCTTAACTCTATTCATAAGAGTTTATGGGCGAATGTGCTTCTTTAAATCTCGGAACTATTCAAATATAGCCATAGCAAGGAAATTCACTATTAGGTTCAGCTTGTCGATGTGAAATTGGAGACAACAGGGTTACAAGTAGGCTTTGATGAAGATCACAAGCCAAAAAGGTTGGGAACAGAGGATATAGGATATATATTCCAGCCCTAAAACACACCAATGAGTAATCAAATGTAATAATGAAATGTAAAACTATTTAAAATCATTGCCATTGACCATATAATCAGCCACAGCTTGCTTTGATTTATACTGCAATTGATTTTATTCCCTTTCTGGTGTTAAAAACCTCTCTGTGAACCCCATGCATATGAATATAAATGCCATCAATCAACTTTTTCCTCTGGCAGAATAATATTATGCAGAACAACAAAGGAAATAAAGACTTTCACACAAAAACATCTCGATCCGTTATGATGTTTAATGTGTCCTGTCTTAATCATAATGAACAACTCATTCCTATTTAATTACTTGAAAACATATTAAATAGTGTGCTTAAACCCACCCATTTACTTAAAACCTGAGAAGGCGCAATACCAGGAAGTAAACTTAAAATCTGACCTTTTAATAATGTCACAAAAAGCGCAATGACAAGCTGTGCAATATTAATCCAGAATCCCTATTTCCCACATCCCACAATTAATTTTGCGAAAAACACTGGGGGGGTTTGTGTCTCTGTCAGAGATGAGCAATAAGGTCACAGCCATGAGACACAAAGAGCAGATGGACGAGGAAGTTGTGACTGGTTGTGAAAGGATCAGGGGGGAGATGGAGGGTGAGGCAGAGGGGTGAGGCAGCAGGGAGGCAGTGATAGACAGCACAGACAACTCATTCTGTCTCCATTAGGCAGCAGGGAGCTTTCATAACCAGGACCAGAGAGCAAAGAGAGCATGAGGTGATTCAAGCAACCCCAGACCAATTAAGAAAGCTGTCTCCATATTGACACGGTGTCAGATCGGACCATGGAATATGACAGGAAGTGATGATAGATGTTTATATATTTGAAGATCTTAAACCATTTCACGTTCTCTATGGTAAAATCTAGTCTCTTTAAAGGGGCTTCTTGATTAAATAAACTGCAATGGCCAGAGACAGGGCATGGTGCTTCATCATTCTTTAAACCCAAAGAATCTGGATTTATGTAACACTGCGGTGCCTAACCTGCCTCCTTGCATAGAGACTGTGAGTTGGAGGGGTATCTATATTCTAGTCTTGTGTATTTGTTCAAATCGTGAATAGCATGCAGGGTGTTCTTGCAGCAGCACAACAATATATACAGTATTGTTGTTTTTAAGTAAAAAAGAACAAGACATTCTTTCCATTTGAAAGGTTGGCTCCCTAAACAGATGATTATTGTTTATATTTGTTATGTTTTTCCCCTGTAGCTATGCTGGAAATACTGTAGATTGCAGAGAATCTATTTCGCCAGACAGCGTAAAAACACAACTGAAATGCGTGGAACATTGCAAACAGCTGCTTGTCAGTGCAAAGGTTTTTTTATGCTGGTATTATTTATAAAATAACTCAATATGTGTGGAGGCACAATTTAAGGATGTTCTTGTTAAGGATGTTCTAGGAAGACAACTCCATGCACGAGTGAGTCAGGCTGGATAAAATGTATACATATTTAGAGTTAAAACAAAGAATGCCAATGAACACAGACTACATTTAAAAACATTGTAGTGAAAGCAGTTCTGTTTTTCTTCCAGAAAACTAGAGGAATATGAGCCTGCTAGACGAGAGGTGCTTGTAAACACATTCAAAGCTTTCCATTTCACACAGACGTTACAATGATAAAGTCACAGCTACGCTTTCAACCTGACAAATTCACTTTAAGACCAAACAGTGATGCTAAATAAGGTGACAATAGCAGTATCAGCTGTTTTATTTGAGTTTAAGTGTTGACTTATAACATAATTGCACATTCTGCATAAACTGACCATCAACTACAAGCATTTGGAGTTCAGGGGTTTTGGTTCTTAGGTCCACTTTTTCCAACATTTAGTACTGTATGTTCAAACTGTTAACTTGTAGTACCAGTCAATTCTGACTCAAACCTCTCATGAAAATATGTTTGCAGAATTGGAAAAAAAACAGTGTCTGCATCCTGTGTTGACTTAATACAAATAATGGTTCGCTTCCAGCAGCTATTTGCCAGGATTTGGTCCACCCTCACCATGTTTACAAAAAAACGTAGCTTTTCTGCATCTGATTACCAACAAGTGTGTTTTGCATAATGACTTTCTCAGCCAGAGCACAGGTTCCAAAGCACCAACCTTAGTAATTAAAACACCACTGTGCTGCTGTTCATTTATAGACATAATTCCCACATATGAAGACATCAAAAGCACATAGGCTACATAACACATTCAAGAGAGCTTAATTAGCATGTATGAACATAGTGTCTCTGTAGTGTATCTTCATATACACACACACAAACACAATTGAGTGTATGCCATCCATGGTGTGTGTGTGTGTGTGTGTGTGTGTGTGTGTGTGTGTGTGTGTGTGTGTGTGTGTGTGTGTACTAAACCTTCCATGTATCACAGATCATGTTCTTTCACTCCCATTATGCTGTTTACAATCTTGGCAGAGCATTCTTTCATTGTTAAAGATCATCATCATCGTCTTGAATCACATCATCCATCCATCAGAAACTGAGGTACAACCACTGGCATACAGACGCACACATACACATTGGAATTATATGGATACAGAAATGGAAATTGAGATGTTGTTTGTCTTCTATTACCAGCGGCTTTGATACAAACACAATGAATGTTTCGACTAGAAGTGAGTTTGAACTCCTGTCAGAAGACAAACACTTGAAACAACAAATCAGGCTCTGCTCCTTATTAGTTGAGTTGGTCACGGTAACTACCAAATGTTGGGATAATATGTATAAAATTATACACAAAAAGTATTCCTGTACATATCCATGGGATATTGGAGGAGCAGCCATACATTTGCTATACTGTTTAATATCAAGGTTACAGCTTTCCATCTTTAACTTACTTGCCACCCACCCTACATCAATGGCAAGACAGGCTAATTAAAAAAAGAAAGTAAAAAAATCTGTGTAAAAGACTTAGTATTTTACATATTTTTAAACACCTGTTTTATTTTTTATTTTTTTAATACCAATGTGTACTGGTGCTTTACTGGTACAATTGTAAATTAGGCCAAAACTAACATCCATTTCTTTAAAGGTATTTTATTTTTACGAACAAAACAATCCATTATTGAGATTGTTTTTGTCAGGGTTGAGCGCAGCAGGCAGGACCCAAACGCAGATTTAACAGAAAATACCTTTATTTAAAGGCTACAAGAAAAATACAGAGCTCTTCCCCGTGAACGCAGTCAAAAACAAACAAGGATCTCACAAAGACTAACAGGAAAAAACAAACCTAAATGCACACAGGACTAATCAAAGAAACAAGAGACAGGTGAGGAGGGAGGAGAAAACACAGGGGCACAAGGTGAACACAATCAGGAAATCAGGTAGGAGGGAACAGAGACAGGAAACCAAAGACAAAAGACAAGACAAAACACAACACAGACAGATCGTGACAGTTTTGTTTGTTAGCCATGTTATGGATAGTGCTTTTTCCTGACAAATTCCTGATTATTTAAATGAACATTAAAAAAATGCAACTAAAGTGAGATGTTAGTGGTGGCACTCCACTTTTTCAGAGTTCTCCACAACATTGCTGTGTAATCTCAGATTTCTAACCTGAGCTGAGTAAATAAAGATACGTCCTAATTCAAGATAATATTTTGTATGACCTTCTTACGTTTAACAAGCCTATGACCTCTCTAAATAAATGTAACAATGAGAAAGTAGGGTGTTAGAGAGTCCTGCTTTTCAACGTCATCCATCAGAAGGCTCAAGGGAACGTTGGGATGGACACAGATGCTGCTCAGGAAGAGAGAGCACATCTTCAGTTTACAGCTTAATGATTTTATTCCCTCTTGAATGAGTGTGTGTGTTGGTGTGTGTACAGTGCACAGTAGAATGCTCCTGGGGCCAAAGACACACTTAAAGATTTGACCTCCTCTTTTTACACTACAACCAGACATCAGCGCTGCTTTGATGTTTCATACTTCACTCACTTTTAAAGAGAATTCTTGGCTAGAGAAAATGAATTAACAAAACGGTAAGGTGGCCTTTACAAGAATTCAAAATCCTAAAGGATTACAGAGAATTAAAGGACAATTTCAAAATCTGTTCTAGAATTTTCTTCAAAGCACAAAAAGCTTAAAATCACTAATTCTGTTTTTTTCGATCTATGTGGAAATTCTAACACAAATACCACATTTAATGATTTTGAAGAAATTTGATAAAACTGTAATTACTCATGAAAGTTATTTGACTGACTAAGTAAATTAAAAGTGAATCATTACCTGCTGTTCAAACTTTGAGTCACCCATTACCCCCGAGAGTTAAATGTCCACACCACTGGAGAGAGTAAAAATCATTCATCATGAATGTATTCCTAAAGGAGTAAAGCTAAAGAAATAACCCACTCTAGTCCTGGAAAATCAATCCTCCATAGTATAGTATCTCTCTCTACAGCTATTGTATAACCAACTTATGTTACATTGCATTACATTTCATTTAGCTGACATTGTTAGGTATTATAGACATATATATATATCATATTTTAAATCAATGTCTATCAATTGATTAACGTAACGTTATCCTATCTATATCACATTGTCAAAAGGATATAACCTACAAATTATGTATGTCTCGACAGTAGTGAAAGGTTAGTGAATAGGAAGTGTCTGCAGGATGTGGATGTCGTGCTCAGAAGGACTCAAACAAGATGGCTGTTTGACCTTGTGACCTGGGGCCTCATGTATAACGCCTTGCGTAGGATTGACGTGAGAAGGTTGCTTACGTAGTACAAAGCAAAAAAATAGGTACAGAAATGTTCCGACATTTTCCGATTCACAAAACATTGCGTACCGGCGAGGGAAGTGCGTACCGGCACTTCCTACGCCTGTTTCCCTTTATGAATCACAATCGACTCGAAATGCGGCGCAGCTTTTGCAGGCTTCACGTAACGCCCATATTTGCCTATAAATAGTCAAAGAAACGCCCATTCATTCATTCATTTTGACTGACTGCATGAAGAAGATTGCAGGAAATTACGACCGAACAGCTAAAAAAGACATCTCACACCGTGTCAGATTTTGGTTATTTTGGGGAGGTCGAGATAAATCATATTGTTTGGTGGATGCAGTTTGAACCAGAGTAGCAGCATGGAGGTCGGATCGTCACCAAAATAAATAAATAAGTGGTCCGAAAAAAGTTAATGACAAAAAAAATACACATAACCTAACCTTCCTCAGGCAGTGTGTTTGTCCCGGGGACAGGAGACACCCCCTTGATGAGAAACTGTAAGAAATGATCGGGGAATCCCTCCGGAGTGGAGTCATGACGACTGGATCTGAATTATTTTGTTGTATTTGGTGGTTTGTGTTCCAGCTGTCGATCAGCAACTATATATCCATAATCCACCAGTTAAAGGAAATACAATGTGTTGTGTTATATTAGCTGTACAATTTACCACATATGGTGTTCTTAGTTTCCATACCTCCTGTGTTTTACGAGCGACTTATCAAGTCTTGGCAAACGGCATAAAACACGATTAAACGTGATAGTATATAAAACCACGCTCGTATCTACAACCTATAGAAATGCAAAACGGCATCAGTTTAGACATTATTCTGTCCTCCTGTTTGCCGCATCATTTATGAGAAAACATTTCATAACATTAACACAACATATTCGAGGTGGTTTTAAATAACATATCCGTATTTATTTATTTCTCCAAGTTTTTGTGAGCACTGAGGAGTCTCAAACAGGCGTTTGTTTAATCATTTTAAGATTGGCTTTAATCAATGTTTGAAAATGAATTCTTCATATGATAAATGAGAGGTAACATTTTATTTATTTCCACATATTTCTCTCCATTCTTCCTTCTGCCAACGGTGTCGCAGTTTCTCGTCTCTTCCGTTTGTGTGCTTAGTGCGTACGAGTTAGAGTTTGCGTGGAGGACCGCACATTTTCCCATCAAGTTAGTATTTTATAAATCGCAAACATTGCGTAGAAACTGGCGTACGCCATTTTTTGAGCGTATATCCCTTTATAAATGAGGCCCCTGGTGAAGCACTTTACAACTGACCGACACATATTCCTTGTAGCTAAGCCAGCACACGTCTCAATCTTAATTGAAAAACAGCAAACTCTCATTATTAATTTATTTCCAACAGGCAAAAGAAAACTGATCCCTTAGCCAATAGCGTCCGAGACAACATCACATCATGTACCAAGGCTTTGGCTGGAATCTTACTTGCTGATTCACACCAATCTCAATCCGACAACAAAAGCAGAACGCACTCAAACGTTTCTAAAGAAAATATAAACTGGGAAAAACTTTTAAAGGGGCATTCCAGCACTTTTATATATATATATACATATCATGTTATCCCTGACTAGTCACAAGGGTATCTTGGAGCGTGTGTTGATAATGGAGGCATAGAGAAAGGCATGGGCATTTACCAGACAGGGAAATGGAATGATGCAATTTGTTGCATTATGGGAATTGTATGATCCAGTGTTACACAAACCCAACCTATACTTAAAACAACAATTCTTGAATTCTATGGTTCTGCTACCCAGACTCTGGCCATTCCTTCCTTTACTGGAAGTGAAATACTAAATTGCCAGAGTGGGCTTTTAAGAGGATAATAAATGCACTGTTGATAATGGAGTAGCTTGTACTGCCCTTTCTCCCAAAGGTGCATTAACTCATCTACAGGTGAAGATCGAATTAGAAAAATGTAATGAAGGACCTCGAGTGATGCCCTACTATAGTGACATTTGACCAAGACAGATTGTTGGCATTGTGTCAAGAGAATATAATATCAAATCATGCTTAATCTAACCTATTCAGATTTACAACACAATGAACCTGATGCCATAAATCTGAACAAAATGTTCTATAATCCACTGCATGTGCAAGTTGTTCTTGATTTGATTGTACATAAAGCGCTCTATAGGTAAGGTTCTAAAGTAAAGCATTCTATTGATGACAATGACAGATGGGATTATTACACAACCAGCATCTGCCCCGAAGCGTTTCCCCTCATTTGAAATGCCAAGCAGGCAAGAAAAAGGACACCTTTTCTCGTTGTATTTTGTCCTTTGAATGAACCATATTATCACAACAACTGTGTTATCTCCTTAGCATTGAGGAGTTTTTTGAGGACACTTGTGAACAAGCTGTTGCTATGCAATCACTGAACAGAGAGGACGTCTGATGTTGAGTTCTGCTTTAGGAGCGAAGGGAAACCTGATGATACACCCTATTAAATAACTCTTCACTGGATAGGAGCCCACATCAGCAATGCGGGTTTCAGAGGCATGAGAGTGACCTCAGCCTGCCCACACACACAAACATACACACACACTCCTACACTCCACGGCATCCCTGACCAAAATGTTCTGTTTCTGCACCATGTGGAGCTCAACACTGAGCATGACTGACCTCTGGCAGTCTGCAGGCTACTTTATCTTGTTAAATAACCACAATAACAGGGGTTATATTATAATACATCAAATTATAGTAGACCATATTGGTAAGGAATTTCATAACAGTGTTGTGTTTGTATAAGTCACTGATCCATGCGTTTTAACTCTACAATTTAAATAATATAAGTCTTATTTAACCAAAAAAACACAATAAACCATAAGGGTAGGCCATATGTGGGAGATACAATTGTAAACTTAAGGTATTATAGATGCGGATTGATCTAAGGAAGCCTTGCATAACAAATAATTGTCATATTTTCATACTTCCATTTTAATCATTTAAAAAGGTCTGTCCAGGGCATCAGTATGCTATTGCAGGGAGTGGCATGTTTTAATAGGCTACGTATTCGCATTCATCTCCACCTCCAGATGCCCCTCACAAACACGAGTAATAGCGAATATAAAGCCGTATCAACGCGCGTGCGAAAGTCTGCAGATAAAACACACAATATTATCCATTACGTAAACGGTATCTTACCTCTCTGTGCGACTCCTTCTCTTTGCAGCGTAGAATCAACAACTGGCTCCTCCCCTTGAGGACCAAACAGTAGCACAGAAATCTCCCCCCGTCTCCTCCACGTTACTGCTGCACACAAAACATGTCTGGCCGAAAAAGGCTCCAGAGAGGCAGGGTACGATGGTGAGGTCCGGCCCGGTGCAGGAGAGCCTTCCCCCGGTACAGCAGCAGACTGATGGCTGAGCTGTGCGGCGGCCTGAGGGGAGGCACACTGCAGTGACATGAACCAATAGGATGACGCAGAATCCCAGGATCTCCTATTCATAAATGCCCAGTGAATCCCATAAAAAAACCTAGTGGTTCTCACATGTTTTTATTGGCAAATATACACACACATGCCATCTCTTTTTAGATTGTGTCCCAGAAAACTAAATATGACTTTGGAAATATGCTCACAAGTGAAAGACTAGTGTGTCCTTCTATTCTGTTGCTATAAGATAAATGCCTATAAAATAAAAACTGTTCCTTAGGTATCACATATAAGCACATTTAGACACACACAACCCTCTATTACATTGTTTCAGTTTAATAACAAAGGACACACAATATAAGAGTGTGGTCTAAAAATAAATACCCTGTAGAACTTATTTAGGACAACAACCTCTATATGTTTTAGGTTAGCCTAGTTCCAGTTAGTCAATAAGCCTATAGATTGACCCTCCCAGAGTGGGTCTATGTCGATGCACATTATACAGGAGCTTGCTTTGTATTTTCCCAAGAATATACTGTACAATTGTATGATATATAATTGTACTTTATAAGCTAAATATATTAAACCATCTTGAGACGGATGAAAGTGCCTCTCCCTCATTCTCTCTAGAGCCCTGATTTGGGTCAGGCTTTAAATGGCATTAGAGGACGTGGATTTGTTGCAATCTGACAGATCAATCCTGTCTACTGTTTTAATTTATAATTTTTAAGTGTGCCTGCTGGTGTATTTAAGTTCCCTTCTTTAAGAAAAAGTGCATTTGTGTACTACTGACAACATTATGTTTACACAGGCCCAGAACTGTGATATTAAATTAGGCCAACATGATCATAACATGGATATTTCAGCTACAATATGCATAAGAACTACAACTTCATAGAGGTATAGCAACCGGAAATTACTTTAGGAAACGGAAATACCAAACTCAACAGAAGAGAGGTAGATCAAGTATCCCACCAGCAACAATAACACATCCGGTATGCGCCCCTGGCCTTCAGAGTAAAAAGCAAATAAATAAAATAAATGTCAAATTGATTTCAAAATATTGTAATTTTGAAACAAGCAGTAATACCAATTAAATGAAATGCAAGTAAGAATTACATAATGGTGTATACTGTAGAACTATGGGTGCAAATATTACCCAATTATCCTTTACAAATCAACAACCTCCCCTCAATATACAGTTTAAGGATTTGCATGTTTTTCTTTTTAAACACGTACAAATTAAAATACACTACTACCATTCAAGTAATTCTAGATTAGTATTTGCTGTATAATGTGTGCAGTTATTATGCTTAATTTACCTTTTACGTTATAAACGGTGAAGATGTCGCTTTTATTCTGAAGGATTCATACCGGAAGTGTTATTGTTGTTGCCGCTGCTGGATCACAGGCGAATAAGAAAATCAATTAAGTTATGAAAAATACCATTAATTGCCTTTCTTTGTCGCCGCAGCTCATGAAGAAATGGCGGATCTCCAGACGTAGTATATTTGAGGACAAACACTTCGCATCTAATGGCGTGTTTTCGGACCATAAAGACCATCCCAATCGACCTGGATATTTACGTTTTTTGGGTAAGTTAGCTTGATGGCTAACTAGTGAAGTTGACATTAGCTGCTCGGCTAATTTAGCTGTAGGTTAACATCTTAACCCTCGGCTTAATTGACTTAAGATGGCACTTGTCAGTCATGACTACGTACTGAAGAGGACGAGTTTTGTAGAGCCACTCGCTGGGCTGTGTTCCGTCAGTTTTCCCAAATATTGCTGTCATTTCTTGTTGTGCAGTGGCAGCATTAGCTAGCTGCATGCTATATGAAGACATGGTTCATTTTATTGCTAACAGTCTCGCTTGATTGCTTTCTATCCGGTTGTAGCACCAGAGCTAACGTGTTAGCCATTCTGCTAAAGTAGCTTGCTTGCTAGCAAGCAATGGCTGGATGTATTGTTTGTTTACAATGTAGATACACCAAATCAAGTCCAGATTGAGATATTACACCATCATGAAATGTGTGTCCTGTGAAGTTATTTTATAAACTACACAGCGTAATATCTTATCACTGGCTTATTTAGGACATCATAGATTTGTTGAAAAATGATATATACACTGCAGTAAGACACTTGATACTAAATTACTGCCTGGATTTATTTTTTCATAGAATTCATTAGGGTTTAAACATACGTTAAGAAACTAGTTATTTTTGTAACTGGTTATTTTTAAGCAAAATGCCACACATTCCCTGATCCAAGATGTTATTCTATCATACCTTGTATTGTCTTTTATCATTTTTTCTTTTTTAATACATTGGAAGATCCCACAAAAACAATAATGATAAATATCAAATAAAACCCCTGCTTTCAAAATACTTTCCTTCAACGACATTTGTATAGCAATAATTATCTCCATACCTCCATACACCTTGTACTTTCCTATCCACAATTTAAATCAGCCAGTTACATTTAATTGAAGAAAAGGAAAAAAAGGAAATAAGAAAATGTTCTCTATATTTATTTTATTTACTCTTATACCTGTTTTTACACTGTTCCACGCCCAATACAGTACTTTTCTGAGTGTATATAGTAATTAATTTTGATTGATTTTCTCTTGCATCTATAGGAATACTGAAGAATATCTTCCAAACTGATGAGAATGAGCTGATGGTTGTGGAAGTCTGCAAAAAGACGTTGCAAAAAAGAGAGAGGCCTTCTGGAAGATGCCAAGAAAAAAACAACAGAATCCACAGCCAGTCAAGTGTAGGTACTCGGAGATCATTTCCACATTGAAAAGTTGATACATAGCTGGGCTACGGCCAAATATGTCTCACATCTGCATTTTTTTACTGACATATGGTAACTAGGCCTTCATGGTGAGGTCAAACATTAAATCCCTGTGAATAATAGCCTGGTCGTTAACAACACGTGCCCTCTCACATCTGGACTCCAGGTGTTACCGTTTGAGTATTTTGAATGTTTAACATCAATCATACAGACCACTATGACTGCACCTAGCAATGCAGTTAAATCCATTGTTACATTCTGCGCCAATAAGAAGGATTGTTGAATGTGCAGTACAAGTTCTTTTTTAAGTTTTACACTGTACAGATGTAAACAAACATGTAGATAGCTTATTATGTTGTGTAATACCTGATTTAAAAATAGGTATCAGTATGTTAGAAATTAGCTACTGTATACAGATTTAAAGCTTTACCTATACAGCATAAACCATGCAGCATGCTAACGAAAAAGTAGTTTCTCAAGTCACGCACATCATCATTTGGTTAGGTGTTGTGTTACCGATTAGCAGAAGACTTCTTCATCTCCCAATATTCACACTAGATGTTATCATTACAATAATTATACAAATCAAAGAGAGAATGTTATCTGTTATCTCATTTGAAAAGATGGAGTTCTGGGAAAAAGAAACTTCCTACGGTGTTTATATTGTTGTCATCTTGTCATATACTAAAAAGACCAGTAGATGGCAGTATGGTGCTGTTTCTCAAAGATCTCCCAAGAAGTGCTGATGAGCTCTATGCCCTTGAGTTGGCCTGCAGCTAGTTTTCTGAAACAGTGACAGCTGTGTGCTAGCTGTTTGGACTCCATCAAGCTTGAGAGCGAGTTAGGATTTCAGGCCTCATTAGCTGTAACTGCAGTAGAAGAGCGTCATTTGTCAACTGTTCAAAGTTCATTCTTTGTTCATAAAGTGCTGTTTTTTTTACACTGTTACAGCAGGAAAGTAAATAAGCCTCTTTTTTTTTCTAGTAGAACTGAAAAGATTAAATAGAGACCCATTTTCTGGCTGGCGTGGCTAGTTTTAGTTTTATTCACTCCATCTTTTTATGCTTCATTAACCTGAAATGATCTATTTTTTAATCCTAAAGTAGTATTTAATTTAATGCTAGAGCCTCGAACAGTCAAGGTTAACATAGTGAGACCTTCATCTGTTATCATGTGTCTGGTTCCAAATTAAGATATACACATGCTTATTTATTTGCATAAGTAGACGACCAATGTTTGAAAGTTTACCAATATTAGTGAAACATTCAAGTATATTGATTAAAACTGACCCTCCAGTGAAATGATAGTAATCATCTCGTGTTGTTGTTGCTCCTTTCTGTGACTACAGTGGATTCTGAAGATGGTGTAGCCATTGAAGCTCCAGGAAACCTCAATTTAGACGCAGACTTCCTTTTGGGACAAGACATTGAGTTTGGTGATCCTGATCATGACAACAAGATTCTAGGCCTGGACAAGTTTTCAGGTTTGTACATTTTAATTTTCTATTAAATGTTTACAGTTATAATCATTAGGTTTCAGAGAGAGAACAGATACCGTTTACAGCACATCTGTGAAAGCCAACTTTGCTCAAGACAGAACATTTCTAAAATTACTGTTACAAATAAATACATGAAAACAAATATTAAATTAATGTTAATTAAACAAAAACAATTACTTTTTAATTAATAAATATGGCTGAAATTGTAGTACTACTCTAGATTGTCATTGAGAAGTTTTATTTTTCCAGGACTAATTTCACCTCAGTGACAACAGTCCATCTTTGAGTGTAGCTCAGTTACGTAGTAAAATATTCTGAAGTTCAATTTCCAAATAAAGACCGTTAAAATAAATTGCAGTAATAGTTTTTAAAACTCGGATTCAAGTTGTTATTTAAAGAGTGCACTGGCCAATTTCACTTCCAAATGATAGAAGACCGCCTCGGAGTTTAACTCAAAGTATAAGGACATTCTGATGTTGAGGGAACAAAGAACAGAGGACATTTTATTTTGTTTTCTTTAAAAACAAAATCTGAATCTGAATGTCCCACCTAGGGAAATGCCCTAGCTACACGCCATTAATGTGAAGCAGTAGGAAATATTCCATTTGCATTAGCAGCGCTACAGCTGTGTAACATCATTAGGAGAGTGAGCAGTAAACCCTGACGCCTATATAATTGGTAAACAAATAATATCAATAA